TGTCAAGTGGCTGAAGAAAGTAGGAGAAAAGGTATGTTATTATTGTTTGGTTTTTGTATATACTTAAGAGTAGTTAGATTGAAACTGGGGACATTGTCATGGTGGTAGAATCGGATAAAGCTGACATGGAAGTGGAAGCTTTTGATCCTGGTTATTTGGCAGCTATTTTAGTGGATGAAGGAGGCAGTGCTCCAGTTGGCAAGACTGTTGGTTTAGTGGCAGAAAAGTTGGAAGACATTGAAAAAGTAAAACAATGTGGCTTGGACTGTATTGACTCAGGTTCATCTTCAAGACATGACGGAACAACTGCTTTGGAAACAGTAGAGTTCTTTGACTCGAAAGAAGATTCTGACTTTGAGCAAAGGTTTTCTTCGAATGGCTCTGCAGAGCAGAACGCTATGAAACTACCCGAACACGTTCCGATATTGATGCCAACACTAAGCTCAACCATGACAGAAGGAAAGATAGTACAGTGGCTAAAGAAAGAAGGAGATTATGTGAAAAGTGGCGAAATGATAATGGTCGTAGAATCAGACAAGGCAGATATGGAAGTAGAATCGTTTGATGAAGGTTATTTAGCACATGTGCTTTATCCAAACGAAAGTAGTTGCCCAGTTGGTACTACAGTTGCTTATTTAGTAAGCAATGCTGCGGATATTCCTCAGATGAAACAGTGGGCAAGTGAAAGCAAGAATAGGTCAACTGCTCCAACACATAAATCCACCCAAGAAGCCTCCCCATCGGTGGAACTGTCGGCATCAACTATTCCGTCAACTTCCTTGCAAGGATCGTCATCACGTGTCATTGCGTCTCCTTATGCTCGAAAGATAGCATCGGAGAAAAATATTTCGTTGTCTGGCCTGAAGGGTTCTGGAGAAGGTGGTCGTATTGTTGCTAAAGATGTATTGGAAGCCTCAGAAAAAGGAGCTTCCTCTAACGTGAACCAAGAGAAACCTACTCTGGTAATGGCAACCCCGCAAGCCAAGAAATTGGCAGAGTCATTTGGAATATCATTGGATTCCATATCAGTAGGTTCCGGTCCCTATGGACGAATCATACCAGCAGACGTGTACAAAGCAGCTGGTAAAGGCCCACCTCCACCACCACCCCATTTAGTAGACTTTCAAGCAACAAAGTCATCCAAAAATGGTGATTCGTCGGTAGCACCCGGCCGAGTGAGTAAGGATAACAGGAGCCGTTCAACCGAAACTTCTTCGAGTATGATGCCCAAAGGTGAAGTAGCCATGAATTCCATGCAAAAGGCAGTAGTGCAGAATATGAATGCATCGCTTCAAGTTCCAGTATTTCGAGTAACCTACACAGTTAATATGGATGCGGTAGAAGCCTTGTACAAGAAGCTTAGTGAAAAAGGTAAGATGGAATACTGAAAACTACAAAAACGAAATCAATCAATACAGGAGTGTCTATGTCAACGATATTGGCCAAGGCAGCTGCATTGACTTTAAGGAAACATTCCGTGATGAACGCGAGTTATGGAAAGGACTCTATTATTTACCGTAATGATATTCATATTGCCATGGCTGTGGCATTACCGGATGGAGGTATCTTCAATGCATTTGTTATTCAATCGTTTTGACCTTTTTTTTATCAGGTTTGATTACTCCTGTATTGAAGAATGCTGACCAAGAAGACATTTACACGTTATCCAAGTCTTGGAGAGTACGTCGCAGCATGGAAAGAAATCAAAAGTATACTCATTTCTTGAAACTTTAGGATTTGGTGAAGCGAGCTCTCATGAAGAAATTGAGTCCTGATGAATATTCGACTGGTACTTTCTTTATAAGTAATCTAGGCATGTTCGGTGTTACTAGTTTTGATGCCATTTTGCCACCTGGTGCAGGAGCTATTTTGGCAGTAGCTGCTTCAAAACCTGTAGTAGGAATGCAACCTAATGGTGAGCAACAGGAAGTTTTTTCTCTCTGATTAATTGTTCGGTAACTACTCGATTTATGCTATCTTATAGGCTTTATTGGTGTTTCAAAACAAATGCAGATGACCATTACTTGTGATCACCGACATATTTATGGAGCCCAAGCAGCTAGCTTTTTAAAGGATTTTAGTACTTTGTTGGAAGAAAATCCTCAGGAACTAACGTTATAAGAAGGGATATATTGTCTATTCTACAAGGCATATGGGATATTTTTGTCTCATTTCTATTCAATAAGAACGATAAAAAATGTCACAAATTCTTATATTTGAAAAAAGAGTGAGTTGAGACCATTTGTGTGTTATTTCTATTACAAGAAAGAATTGAATTCCATTCCGCTGAATTGTGAATCAGAAAATGGGTTATTCAGATCAGGTCGTAGGTTTCGCCCCTTCCATAGGACTTTATCCTGTATCTCATAAAAATGTTTGTTGTAATAATACCCCTACAAAGTTTGCAAAATCTACTACTTTTATGGGAAGAACATATTTGAGTTGTAGATCATGCCCTACTTCTTCTTGGAGCAAACAGGACGGTGCTCCAGGTCATAAGATGAGGGGAGGTCCCTACATGGTTGCTTCTAAGACAGACTTGGAACAAAGAGTGAGAACAAGGCTTATAAAGCTGTTTGAGCAAACTCCTTGTATGCCCATTATGGTGAGACTAGCGTGGCACGATGCGGGAACCTATGATGCACAAACGGGTACTGGTGGAGTGAACGGATCCATTCGATTCGAACCGGAATTGAAACACGGGGCAAACAATGGATTGAAAATAGCGTTTGATTTACTGGAGCCTATCAAAAAGGTGAGTCAGTTTCACTGAGATCAGAGGAACACAAGTAGTTTATATTGGTTCATGTAATATCGGATTGATAGGAATACCCAGATATAGGCTATGCTGATCTTTTTCAACTGGCTAGTGTAACTGCTATTGAATTTGCCAAAGGTCCCAAGATTCCTTTCCGAATGGGTCGCAAGGATGCCACTGGACCCGATTCTTGTCCAGAGGAGGGAAGGCTTCCTAATGCAGAAGATCACTTATCACAGTTACGAAGAACCTTTCATCGAATGGGTTTAACAGATAAAGATATCACTGTGCTGAGTGGCGCACATACCTTGGGTCGTTGTCACAAGGTTGGATTGTATCGTCGTTGAGAATGTTAAGTGGTTGACGGTTCTCTTTAGGAGCGTTCAGGTTACGAAGGTCCTTGGACACACCAGCCTTTGGAATTTGATAATTCTTATTTCGTTGAAATTTTGAAACCGGTAAGTAATAGTGGATATGTTTGGAGTTAGTTTTATTTGTTTTTTATTGGAAAAAGGATCCAGATCCAGGTTTGCTTCGCTTGGCTTCTGATTTATCTTTGTTGGAAGATAGTTACACTCGTAATTTGGTTGAGACTTATGCGGCAAATAAGGATATATTTTTCAAAGACTATACCGAGTCGCATCACAAGCTAAGTGAACTTGGAGCTGTATGGGAATATTGAACCATTTGATATGCATATCTATGGTTGGATAAATAGAACGATATGTGTTTGAATATGAGGGATGATAGTGATTAGTGTGTGTTTGTGTTTGTGTGTGTTTGAATTTCCAGAAGCCAATGAAAATCTGATTTGATGAATGCCAAGTTTCATTTCTTCAGAGTCCATTCGATTGGTCAATCCCTTGTACAAAAACTTTACTAAATGGCTACGAAGCTTTGGAAATATTATCCTAAAAGGTTGGTACAAACTTCCGCCAAAAAAGAAGATGTGGGACTGTTACCAACCGTACATAACTTTGTTGGGGGAAAATTTGTAACAAGGTAAGCTGGTGCTTCAATTTCGACGGTGTGTTGTTTGCGCAACCGTGTACTTCAGTAATGGTCCCATCATTCACACAGTAACCAATCCTGCTACTGGAGAAACTCTACAAAAGGTTCCAGGAACAACCAGGCAGGAGGTAAGAAACGTTGAAATTCATAACTGGGTCCACGTAAACTTTCCAAGGTGGACCAAGTCATGCAGATAGCACAGGAGGCGTTTGGAAGCTGGTCAACTACGCCTATTGGAAGACGCTTGAATTATATCTTTCAATTGCGTGAGGTACGAGGGAGTTGATGAGAATTTTTCACAGGCAGAGATTGACGTTCGTTTCCAGGGAATTAAGAAGAGATCCAAAGATATAGCCCAAGTGATAACCCGAGAGTTGGGAAAGACTCCTGCTGATGCTCAAGGTGATGTTGCCCGTGGATTGGAAATTGTGGAGTATTCTTGTGGAGCTGTAAGTAGTAATTGTATGCTGCAAAGATAATAATATCAACTTGTACTATGAAAGGCAGGCAAATTGGAAGGAATGTTTCAAAAGAATGTTGCAACCAATGTGGATATGATGCAGGTAAAGTGGATGAATGGTTGGGTGATAAAATGATGTACTGAGGTTTGGTATGATTGGGAATAATAGATGAGAGAACCTTTAGGTGTCTGTTTGGGAGTTTGTCCTTTCAAGTAAGTAAAGCATTAGTCATTGTTGTTTCTGGTTATTGAGAGTCGCAGTTTTCCTGCTATGATTCCATTATGGATGCTTCCCATGTCCACTGTAGTTGGCAATACAATTGTCTTGAAGCCTTCAGAGTTGGTACCAGGGGCAGTAGAACTGATTGCTCAAGTTGTAGATGAAGCACAGTTTCCACCTGGTGTATTTAATGTGGTTCAAGTCAGTGTTGACAACAGCATTTCAAGTATGGTGAATGAATATTGGGTTTGGTTTTATTAGGGAGGGAAAGAGACAGTCGATTGTCTGTTGGAACATCCTGGTTTGAAGGCAGTAAGCTTTGTTGGAAGCACACCGGTGGGTCGTCATATTTATAGAAAGGCTAGTGAAAGGGGAATCCGAGCACAATGTAACATGGTGAGTGCATAGTTCATCTTTCACATTTTGTCATAAATATGGACTCTTGTAAAGGGAGCTAAGAATCATGCCGTCATTATGCCTGACGCTGCCAAAGACACTGCATTGAATGCTCTCATAGGAGCTGCATTTGGAGCAAGTGGTCAAAGATGTATGGCAATATCCGTGGGTGTATTTGTATGTATCCTACAACTTTTAGAAAATGCATTGATGCATTTCTAAATATATATAGGTTGGAGAGGCTGGAAATTGGATTTCAGAACTCGTAAAGAGAACGCAGTCCTTAGTATTAGGTACTGCAGAAGGAAGTGACTTGGGTCCACTCGTTACTGAAAAGGCAAAGCAAAGAGTTGAAAAGTTGATACAATCAGCAGAATCACAAGGTGCAAAAATCGAATATAGAGCTTCTGTTCCCTCTTCTAAAGGTAACTGGGTGGGTCCTACTATCATTTCTCAAGTAAAGCCACATATGGATGTCTATCAACAAGGTGAGTCTACCTATTCTAACCCTTACAAAGCTCTTATATTGTTGCTTAGAAATATTTGGACCCGTTCTTTCGTGCATACATGTGGAGACTTTGGATGATGCTATTCAACTCATCAACAACAATCCATATGGAAATGGCACAAGTATATTCACTCAGTCGGGTGTAGTTGCAAGAATGTTTCAGAGCAATATTCAAGTAGGACAAATTGGAATTAATTTGCCCATTCCAGTCCCTGCTCCACCCTTTGGGTTCACAGGATCCAAAGATTCTATGTGGGGAGATTTACCATTCTATGGCTCCACAGGGTTCGAGTTTTATACTCGTCCAAAAACAGTCATCACTCGATGGGATGAAAAAGTACAGAGTGCTATTCACACTTCGATGCCTTTGCATCGTTAGGTAAAAGAATCTAAAATATTTGTTCCTATGCTACTTTCGTCGTCCACTGAAATGACTTTGCCAATTGTCTAGAAAGCCAACTTGTGGATATTCACTTTGGAAATATTCTACCCAATGTTGCAAGTCTAGACGTTGTTCCTCTGTCAAGCTATTCAAATCAATGCTCTCATCTGATAAACCACTTTCACTCAAGTCACCAGTAAGAAATGCTCGACTTGCTTCTCTTCCAACCAAATTGTGATAAGTTTCACCTTTACGATAATGTCTTCTCCCCTATCAACTCTGTTATAAATATACTCTATTCAATCTTATTCAACGATGACTTACTTTGGTAACATCAAAAACTATACCACAAATAGAAATGTAGATTGGCTTATTGGGATCACTTCCGTCCAATTCATTCAACTGTTCCAAGGTAAATATCTTTGAGTCATTTGTTGAAACTGTCGCAGGTGATTCACAATCAGTTTCATGTGCTCTCGTACCATCTGCTCTTGGAAATCCTCTTCTACTCAACAACCTAGAGTTACGTTTTCATATTTCGTTCTTCGATATATAGGACATTCCATACTTTTTAAAGTATGTCCATGAAGTTTCATTTGGTGTTGAATAATTGGTTGGTGCATCCATATACTCCGGATAATATCGCTCAACAAATGTTCGAATCTTAAACGCTGTCAAAACCAAACATTATAAGATTGGGACGAATATTACCTGCTCACTCAAGTCCTGGTATCCCTTTTCTAGTCTTTTACCTCTGCAATGATACAAAAGTCTTCCTGACTTGTCACCCATTTTCATAAAAGGCAACCATTGTCCTATGCGTACCCAAGAAAACTAAATATTTCGAGTGATGATAATCCATCATTCAAGTACAAATAAGTGATATACGTACTTGTGAAGGTGAATAAGGACAATCAACTCTCTTCAAATCCTCTTCTTTGGTATAAAACTGAAACAATTCAGCACTTTGATATTCATCGTTCTGTATGCCTTGTGGAAACATTTCTCTTTTCAAAGGTGAAGGATACTTCAAAAATATCTCTGCATGCCAAAAAATATCCGAACCATTGCGCACAATCGGTGCCTATAAGAAAGTAAGACGCTTCCCATTACCCAAACTATGCATACTTTAAATGTTCCTCTTGGTCCTTTCAATAGAAACTCTTGATTCACGGGATCGTTCAGCACATGGACCACTTCACAAATCTCTTCAGTAAAGGGATTCTTCCATTGTTCCAAAATTTCGTGAGTATTGGGATCCTTGTAAACAGCCAACTCTCTGGTAAGCAATCTCCAACCACCATCCACTCGTTTCATCCGTCCAATATTGAATCCTTCAAATTCGAATAAATGTCTAAGATAAAAGATGGTCGATAATCGCTATAACCCACAACTCATTGCACCCACCTGCTGGGCTCATCTTCTATCAGAGAGTAGATATCTCCTGACCTTGTATTTACCAATTCAACTAATGAACAAACCCACAGAAGGAATCACGCCCTTACCACCAAAACACAAATGGAATATCGGGTATCAAACATCCTCTGGTTTTGATAAAACCTTTTAAATTCTCACTGGAATCAGTTTCTAAGAGGTTTGTTTGTACGGAAAAGTTTTCAACTCGTTTGTTCCTCTCTGTCTGTTCTTCTTGTTCTACAAAACGAGACGAAATAACAAAACGACAGGGAGTCTTTCTAGCCACAGGACAACGTCTTTGTTTCAAAAACCAGGCAAAAACTTCATGGGTAGCCAAACTTCTTTGGTTTTTATATTGTGATAAAAATGGACAGTGAATATAAAGCATACCGCTATCCATAGTCATCGCCCACTCCAACAACACAAAATGACATGGGGAATGGCTTTTATCCACGATCCTTAAAGGCGCGTATCATGAAGGTGCGTTCTTCGAAATCATCTAAGAAGGAAGAGAAAGAAAAATAAAGGGGAGATGGAAAATAGAAAAAGAGAGAAAAATAAAATAGGGAGGCATTTTATTTCAAATAATGGAATTGGGAGGAATAACCCAACAATCCTTTTCTTTTTCTCTCTTTAGTATGGTGATTGTGCACCCTACCAACGGGACCTACTTGTATGTAGGTTTGGAGTTTGATATTGTGTCGGATATCAAAGCGTGCTTGAATCTAGTAGAGGTAACTATTTCATGCTGTATATTTTAACCTTTTTTTGTTGAACGACAAGACAAGACTACGGGTTTTGATTTCTTTTTGATTCCCTTGGCGAAGCCTAGACAAAGTTCCAAAGTAAGAATGCCATACTAACGTTTCTTTCTTATTCAGTAGTATAGAACGAAGATAATGGAGTCATATCGAATATACTCGATTTTGAACCTAGCGTTTCTTCGGATCTGGAACTCAGTGGAAATACTTGGAACTCGGTTGTTTTAGGTAATTTGAGTTGTTACAAGTTGAGCGATGGATTAGATTTGCCTAGACTTGAAAATTATTTCCATCAAGTAAGTGCAGTGTATCCAAAGGTTGTTTGTATAAACTTGGTCGTACTTGTAGCAACTTTCATGGGCACAGCACCTTAGTCTTCGGACAAGTTTTGTTGTCGTGGATGGCCAATTAACAGAAGAGCAACACATTGCGTTAGCAAATATGGTGTGCAACGCGCTATATGAGTTTCCACGGGAATCGATATGTATTCGAGTGTGTATCGATGATCAGTTGAAACTTTCCCATTCAGAGAATGATAAGCAAAAAGATTATATGGATAGTTGGAATATTTGGAATTTGTATCGACAATGCTGTCATTATCATTCCAATCTAAGTGTTGCGTTGGAATGTAAAGATATTGTACATCCATCGCTATCTTCATCCTTTTTTCAACGATGGCTCAGCGAACCTGTGCGCTATGTCATTTTAGACACCAAAGTATTTTTAAAGAATCGACAAGGTTATCCTGTTCTTTCCAAAGCATTTCAAGAATGGTTGCAAAAATTTTTTCCGTATTCAGTGGATATTCTGATTCGAGGGGAAGCATTGCATCCGAATGGATACTCATCTTATTTGCAATATCTTGGATATCTTTACACTAAGCAACCGACTGTTGAAGAGTCATATCGATTAGAGATGCCTTATTTTGATTATTTACAGGTAAGAATTGCAATCATGGTGATAGTTTATATGTCATTTTATATTTTTGGATAGACTCCTTTACAGCCTTTGTCGGATCATTTGGATAGTCAAACCTATGAAATCTTTGAAAAGGATCCTGTCAAATATTGTAAATATGAAGAAGCGTTGATACGATGTTTTAAGGATCGTCTTTCGCTGCAAGGTCGACGAGTCCCACTAGTAGTTATGGTGTTGGGTGCTGGAAGAGGCCCATTGGTGAATGCAACTATTCGTGCTTCTGAACAAGTTGGAATAATAGTTCGTATCTATGCCATTGAAAAGAATCCTCATGCTGTATGGACACTGAGAAGCATTCACCAAAGGGAGCCCAGTTGGAAAATAGTTGAGGTTTGTATTTGTTTTGGTTTGATTGATGTTGTTATTGTTATCCTTTTTCAGATTATTGCCGAGGATATGAGATATTGGAATGCACCAGAGCAAGCGGATGTGATAGTTTCAGAGTTACTAGGTAGTTTTGGTGACAATGAGTTGAGTCCGGAATGTTTAGATGCAGCACAACGCTTTCTTCAACCGGATGGCATTAGCATTCCCAGTGAATATACCAGTTATTTATGTCCCCTTTCCTCTCCCAAGTTATATCAAGAGGTATTAGTATCATAGTGGACTGGTTGTAGTTGTTTTCCAAGGCTTGTATTAGATTCGGTCATTATCTTATCATCATAGAGATGGAGGAAATGTATCCTCTTCTTTAGAGGTTCCTTATGTTGTTCGTATTCATCAAGGCCAATATTTAGCAGAGTCTCAATGCTGTTTTCGTTTTGAACATCGTGGCAATAATTCTTCATTTTTATCCCAAAAGGTTTGTAGCTATAAATGGATGTGTCTATATATAGAGTTACTCATCTTGAGGATCAGCCCTATCATCATTTTCGATATCGACGTTTGTCTTTTGAAGTGAATGGACCTATCATGCTTCATGGATTTGCAGGCTTTTTTGAAGCTCAATTATATGACACTATATATATATCGACTCATCCTCGAACATTGTCGCATGGCATGTTGAGTTGGTTTCCATTCATGTTTCCACTTTGTTATCCAATGTAAGAAAAAGCCATCCCACCAACAGAAATATTTTGATACTCTTTCTAGTTATTGCGGTGATAAAAGTTGTAGAATCACATTGCATATTTGGAGAAAGACAATACCAGGGAAACGAATATGGTATGAATGGATGATAACGGAACCTGTCGTAACCAAGTTACATAATGTTCATGGACGTTGTTATTCGATGGTAAGTTTGATAACTTAATATATAATTATATATTTATATATATTTATTTATTTATAGAAATGTTCTTGAAGAGATGAATAAAGGTAATGGAATATGATTCTTGTGTTGTGATGATGATGCATCCCTTCCCAATAATGGCCTTGTTCTTGTCTAGTCCTCAAGAGTTGTTGACAAAATATTATTCACCTTGTAGGTGGTCAATATCTCGGCATTGTTCCATTAGTAGGAGAAATAGGTGTTGGGTAAAGTGTAGAATATGTCCTTTGTTCTTATAGCCTAAGACTGGTCATAGATTGCACGAGCAACCGATGTAAAGAGGATAAAACAAACCGTTTCAGGAGAGAATAACAAAAGTCAAGAACAAATTGCTATACAAACAACAACACCCAACCAACAGTGGTTGTGGTTGAAACGAAAGATCAATTCTCCTTTTGCTCTAATAGGTTTCGTGGTAATCATAATATCGATGGTGTTGCGTCCTAAACCTTCTTCCAAAAAAGAAAAAAGAGTGACGGGGATTTCTTCTTCTGTTCAACGTTCAACAAAGTCTTTACTAGACCCCATCAAAGAAACAAATAATAACCCAACAAGGCTAGAAAGTTTCAGAGCCATTCCTGCTCCAGCTGTTACTAGTGATGATGCTTTGGATATGTTGGAAGATAATCGAAAAAAGTTTATCATCGTGGGTGGTAAAGGAGGAGTTGGGAAAACTAGTATGTCCTCAGCTTTAGCTACAAAGTATGTTGTTTTATGTTTGTATGGGCAACAACCTTTTTTTACTCATAGTGGCACCGAATAGATTTGCAGATGCTGGGAAAAAGACTCTTATTATTTCAACTGACCCTGCACATTCTTTATCTGATGTATTTGATCAGAATCTTTCACGTGGAGAAGCAATTCAAGTGATAGGAATAGACAATTTATTTGCAATGGAAGTAAATCCGAATGATTTGAAAGATACTTTCAAGTAGGGTGAAGTAATTGGATGAGGAACAACTGATTTCTTACTTTTCTAGATTGTTGCCTGCCAACCAAAGAAACGAACTTTTAGGAATGGGAGATATGGGTTTGGATGAGTTGGATAGTCTCTTTGAAACACTTCCTCCAGGATTTGATGAAGCAGTAGCTTTGGTGGAAATCATTCGTCTGATTCAGGTTGATTTCTTTTATAGATGATGTTGGCAGAATAGTTTACTTTAATTCATTAGGGAGACCCTCAATATGCAAAATATGAAAAGATTATCTTTGATACTGCCCCGACAGGTCATACACTTCGTCTTCTTTCATTACCTGACTTTTTGGATGGTTTTGTTGGCAAATTTTTGTCAATGAAGAACAAGTTTTCGAATGTAATGAATTCATTTAAAGGCATGTTTGGAGGTCAAGAGAACGATAGTAAGTGAATCATCAGAGTTGCAATCGAAATATCCTTTATAAACAAGAAAAAGATTTAGATTCTGGAGACTTGCAAGAGTTGAAGAATTCCATGAAAGTTGTGAGGGATTTATTTCGAGATGAGGAACAAACGGAATTTATTGTTGCAACTATACCGGTAAGCTTAGATGCATCCTTCAATTTGCCTTTATTCATTTGAGTTTGCGAGAATATGATGGCCATCTCGGAAAGTGTACGTTTAGTAAAAGAACTGTACAAGGAAAGAATTCCTGTGCGTCATTTATTCGTGAATCAAGTTCAAGTTGAGAACAATCACTGTTCCTTTTGTTGTGCTCGATATAAGGAACACAAAGCCAACTTGCAGTATATTCGAGAACAATTTCAAGGCTTAAGAATTACTCCCGTGCAGGTAATGTGATGAGTTTTTAAGTAACCAAATGATGAATGAGAGAGAATTTATTTTTTAGTGTTTTGATAGAGAAATTAGAGGTTTATATGCATTACGAACGATGGCGAATCAGTTGTTTCCTTCACATAAGACATCGCATCTAGTTGATAGTTCTCAAGAAGCAAAGACTAGTCATGTGAACACAAATATATCGGTAGAGTCGACGGGTTCAACTTGACATTTATTTTGTTGTTACAAGTGGACAATTTGTTTTTTGAGATTTATTGCTGCCTGTTGAGGGTCATTGGAGGATAAGATTGCAGAAATAACAGCAACTCCTTTGGCTCCATTTTGTATACACTGACTTGCATTTTGTTCATTGATACCGCCAATTGCAATTACAGGAATAGAAGAAACTGCACTAGCAATACTTCTCAAAGCTTGTAACCCTATGGGCTCTCCAGCATCTGCTTTACTAAAAGTAGCAAAAATAGAACCAACTAGAAATACATTCACACACAAAATGATTCTGAGAAAAGTTTTCTTATCTATACCTCCCACATAATTGGCTCCTTGTTGTTCGGCAACTATTGCTTCTTCTTCATTTCCAACTGATACTCCAATTATCTTTCCATATCCTAATAACCTTCTGGCCATAACGAGTGGCATATCATCCTATTCATAAGCACAAAATGAAGACATAAATACGATTATATATATATATATGTCTACATTACTTGACCAATATGAACTCCATCCGCATCGATAGCTAAAGCAACGTCTACTCTATCATTCAATAACAATGGAACTTGAAAGGAATGAGCCAAATGTAAAAGTTCCTTTCCCATTCGAATCATATCTCGAGTAGAGTTGTGTTTATCTCGATATCTAAATAGAGTTGAGTAGATCATGAAACAAATATTCCAAAGATATCACCAACTGCAGAATAGTTACTCCTCCACTCAAAGCTGCTTTGACCTTCTGAATAAAGTTGCTTCCTATTGAAAACTCTTAGGAGTGATTCCTTACCTCCAATAGACAATCAATATCTTTATCTGTGCCACTAGTAACCAAATATAAGGAGTAATCGACTGAGTCTTGGGTTGCTTTGATCGGCAAAGCTCTTGCTTCCTTCCTTGGATAGAGAGGAGAATGAGAATACTGTGTTCGTCGGAATGGATTCCTTGTTTCTAAAAACTTGAAACTTTTTGGTGAAAACAAAGAAATAGGATGGAGAAAACTGATGATCGATAATAAATAGCCTCTTTGACGATCCATTAATAACTAGAAAAAGATTATTTATTGTTGTTTGTGGGGATGGCGAAGCAAGAAACCCAACCTTTGTTAGACCACCACCGATATTCAAAACAAGAAAGGTCACACATATGGGTCGATCAACTCAATACAAAAGCCGTAGAAAGAGATGTTGGTCTCGATGTGTTTCGGGGTCTTTGCATCATCCTTATGATTCTAGGAAAGGATCAAGGTAACTGATGGTTACGTGACCAAGACTTGAGTTGAAGTTGGAATGTCAGGAAACTTTGATAAAATGTATTCCGTTTTTAAACACGAGTCTTGGTTTTCTTGGCATATGGCAGATCTTATATTTCCCTTTTTTTTGTTTATGGTGGGTTCTTCCATCTATTTTGCCTTTCGCAAGGTACCAAGAGAAGTTGAGAATTCGGAGGAAAAAGACAAAGCACTGCGTAGTTGAGTGTGAGAGATATTTCACCTTGTGTTGTTTCTGAGTTTTGGTTACAGGTGTCACAAGTCGTACCATCAAGCTGTTTCTAGTTGGTGTATTATTGAACGTTCCTTTATCCGGTTTTCGATGGGAAACATTGCGTTGGATGGGAATATTGCAGCGTATTGCGATATGTTATGGATGTGTGGCGTTTTTGTTTCTATTTGTCAACAGCAGAGTGATACAATATGCGTTGGTTTCAGGTAAAGGTTGTTACTCTACATTTATGTATATTGATGTATTCTCTCTAGTGTTGTTTTTATTACACACCAGTTTGTTGTATGGTCTAATAGTTCCCAATTGTCTTATTTCCGAAAGGTTAACGAGAGCTTGTAGGTAAGCACCCCTATCTATATCTTGCCACAGAGTCTCATATCTCACGTCAACTAGTGCACAATCTTATCTAGATACGGTTAGTCCATCCTTTCCATTGTGTGTATAATAATGATATAGAACAAGTTTAGATGATATTGGGAGGCAAACATCTTTATTTTCATTTAGAATATGATCCTGAAGGAATCCTATCCACTTTGATGGCCACCATCAATACATTTGCTGGTTTGGAAGCGGTAATGCTGATCATAGAAATAGTGGTCTTACCGTTATTTGACATATCACTGCGTTATGATTAGGCTAGACTAACCTCATCTTTGAGATATGTTAATCAACGTATCTTGTGGTGTTTCTTAATAGGAAGTTCATTCGTTGGGATAGAAATACTTTTGGTTGACTGCTTTCCAGATAGTGTTCCTATTAGCAAACCGCTATGGACTGCAAGGTATCAAAGGTTGTTGCTTGCAAGAACAAGAAAAACTTATTCATATAGTTTTCTATTCTTAACTGTTGGTTGCTCATTCTGGTGTCTTTCATTCTGTGGCTTATGGGCAAAAGTTACTCCAAGTGAGTATAGGAAGAATTGCATATTGTTATTGTGGGTTTTGGTTTACGGTAGATATCCAGGATTAGTACAACCTTGTCTTTGGGTTGGAAGAAATAGTTTTTTTCTCTTCGCAGCTTCGTTTTTACTGGATTACGCAGCGTTATTAAGTATACAAGTGAGAATTTTAGAGAAGGTATTTGTAGTGAAAATAAGTGAACGATATTGTGGATAGGTTTCTCATATGCCTTTGAAGCAGTGGCTCTATCGACACTCGGCAGTAACTTTGTTGGGTGATACTGAGTTTGCGAGTCTTTCCTTTGCCAGTGTGTTCACGTTATTCTGGGTAGTCATAGCTTGGATACTTTATAGAAAAAAATTATTTATAAAAATATAAAACTCAACTGATAAAAACCCAATTTAAAAGGAGAAAAGAGGTGCTCTGCTCCTAGTGCAGTGCAAGACTAGGGCAAAGCTTGGATAGTGTTACTGCAAGCAGTAACTAACCTACCCCCTCTCGAAAAATACTTGTAACAACGGGAGCCCAAGTGGACCCCAATCAAGTTGTTACACTTGATAGAACAGATACTACACTTGATCTGAGCCAATAGACTCGAGAAGATCATTAAAGAATCTGTTATGGACAGGCCAGGATATATAAAGCAGCAATCCTAATTTTTTTTGATGTTGGGATAATGGGGATTCGGTTTTTTTGATGTTGGGAGAAGAGATATTGTTCATGAGTGTATGGACACTGAAATGCTTTGTGCTCATCGCTAAAGAAAGATAGTGATGGTTGCAACGAAACCAAAATAAACAAAAACAAATAGTGAAGAAAGATAATACATTTCATGTAGAGATATGCAACTAAGTGAATCCTTTACTCGAACAATTTGTAGTAGATACATAAATAGTACATAAGCTATGGGTTGTTGAAAGTTTCGAGTTGCGATTGTTTTATTTAACGTATAAAAAAAGAAATTGAAAAAGTTAACTGGAAGCCGTTTCAAACGGATTGACTATTTCTTCAGCTCCTTCCACTGGATACACACTCACCAACGAGGTACCTCTAATGACCACAAGTCCTAACTTTCTCTCTTTATCCGTTGTTTTATACGGATCTTCCGGATCTATTCAATCCAGTCAACTGGAGTTTATAAAAGAAGAACTAATGGAATACAGACCTCGAAGCTGTTCAACTGCTTCATCCAGTACCAGGTTTACGAGAGGATCCCATCCCCTTAAAATTCCCGATACTTGTCTTCCTCCTAACAACCTGACGTATACTCTTACGTCCAGATACTTGGAAACGTCTATCGCACCTGAGCGTCCAGAAGTGGAATGACCACCGGTTCTGGATTGACTAGTCATTAGCCGACTTTTCTACGCTAAAGTGGTTTTCGTTTGTGGGATTATCAGTTGAATGAACATTCGACTCGATGTCAAGTTGCAAGCAGCTGGTTTCACACCTAGTTCAGAATTGAGAGCAGATTTGATAGCTTCCCTTAATCAACACAAAGAGAAACAACAACTATGGAGAAATCAACACAAGGTTATAAGGAAGCTGTCTCCTGTTTCGAGCCGTGAAACTTCGCCACGTCACATCTCTGGAAGAAGAGGTGATAGAAAACTGGCTTATGTGGTTTGTCAATTGGCCGGAAGGTGGGTTGCTGAAAGGAATTGGATCATTCCTTTTGTATACAACTGTCAAGACGAGGGTTGTTTATCTGTAGATAACGACGGTCAATTTGTCTTGGATAGCAGCAGTAGTCCTATTCATGATGCTTCCGATTGGCAAGCTACTGGATTTGACTCTATGAATCTTCAGTCGTCGGAAGATGGGGGTAGTTGTGAAAAGGCTGACTTGGATATTCCTTCAGTGTGCAAAGCGGCTTTGGAAGACGCCTTACATTGGGGTATTAGTGGAGTGGAAGGATATTCAGGTTTTATTTTTAGATATCCTCCTCAAGTTATTCTTACGAATCAAAACATAAACGCAGAACATGCCCTGGTCGTTCATTTATCTTGCCGACTTCCAGATTATATTCCTCCAAGCTTTCGAGGGACTAGTATGAAATACCAATATCTATTAGCTATTGTAGCTGCTGATGCTAGTCGTATTCATAAGCCGCAAGTGTTACGCATTCCTTTGATATTTACTACCAGTCAAGCAACTAGTGTAGTTCGACCTATTTATATTCCTTGGACAATGAGACCCGATTATAAACAATGTTCATTCAAGTCCAAAAATGGTAGTTTTCGAGTGCATGCTTGCATAATGCCTAGTCGCGATAACATTCAGAGAATGATTGCGTTATCTCCAAATGGAAGAATTACCCCTTTTGATAAGAGAGATGAAGACCCAAGACAATTTGCCGTCTCGTATCCTGTTTCCGAAGAGACGATATTTGACTGTAAGGAAGAGCAAACTACAGATAGAGGAGCTTTAGTTCTGCAAGACGACGATATTCAAGGTCCCCATACATTTCCCTATCTTTCGCAGAAGGATATATATTCTACAGACGATAACATACAGAGCATCTATCAAATCAAACAAGGTTCCGATATTGTTTGTCGTATATATGTATTAAAGCGAGCATTTCGTTGTGGAGATTCCATTGTCGGGTTTGTAGAGTTTTCCCAAAGTAAGATTCCTTGCTATCGAATGACTATCAAGTTAGAGACGGAAGAACGAGTACATCCGAGAGCATGCAATCGGTCTTCTAAAATGCCACTTATATTTCGAAAGACTTATGGGGAGCGAATGGAATATCCGAGTTTCGAGCAGAACACCGAATTCATGTTAAGTATTCCTTTGGATGCACCAGTAAGTTTTGAGACTACTGCAGTGTCTTTTGTATGGTTACTGCGCTTTGTCTTTGAAATACCAGATGGTCCAGTTGATGCACAAGATATGAAGTATCATGAGTTGTTAGGGACTCCATTATCGGAAGTTGACTATCTTTTACAAAGAAATACGAAACTACTCAACTGGTGTCTTCCTCTTGTTGTTTATGGTGGAGATAGATTTGCATTTGTACCGAACACTGTCATGGGTCTTGATTTGTTGTACGATACGTGAGAATGGAACATAGAGAAAACCAATTTACGAGTCATTTTCCATACTATCACTTCAATACTCATTATATACATACAGTATACCATTTTTCTTCCTAAAACTAGACTTTTGAACAACTTATTACATATTCTTCGTCATTCTCATCTATTTGTATAGGCACGAAACCTGCCATTTTGCATAAAAGAAGAACCTCATGGGGATGGAGCACAGACTTATTGATAAGCATACTTTGGCTTTCTGCAGTAGTAGTACTGGTTCCTTGGTACTTTGGTAAAGTAATGCATAGAATACCTTTGTTTCGAAGGCAAATATATGCTCTAGCAACAACAGCTTCTAATACTGATTCGTTGATAGTGCTCGTTTCCAACTTGACGTGCACAGCAGAACAACTATCTGACTGAGGGGGAAAGGTTAAACCCATATCATGAGGATGACTATTACGCAAGAATATCTCAAGACTTGTTCGCGGTGAACAAGGTTCTTGATATAAAAAGTTGGAACCACCAGTGGTCCTCAGTGGTGAACCAGCGTTGGACATTTCTGTTATGAGATTTTCTCTTTCTTGAGATTTCGTCAAGACGGGAATTTTCAATCTCATTCACTCCCGTTCCTCTATCAAAGAATGAAGTAAAGGAACAAGGGTATCCATTTCCCAACGTTCTAAATAGCTTTTTCGAAATCTATAGAGAGATAAACACACATAGATATGTATATTTCAACTTATTCAATATATTTCGACTCACTTGCATTGCCTCTTGATATACTTGCGCTCAGAATCAAAAATAGATAAAGCACTTGGCAATAGCTCTGTGAACACTATTCGCGATGATGCCAAACAATTGAGCAAGTTTGGTATTTTGTATTTCATTTCTTCCATCCAACGTCGTCTACAAAAAAGACGTCTATCCGAGACAACCTCTTGTATCAGACTGTCATCTTCTTCATCTTTCAGATAACCTTGGAAAGTAACAAACCAAGGTTTTATTACCAACTTGAGTGCTTGAGCTCCGATCAGATTTCCAAAGGTACAATACGTCTGACTTGCTGTATAATGGAAAACAATGAGATGAGCAATGGCTTCAGGACTTTCCTACCTGTCACAAGATTATCCATCAAATATGAAAAACGACTTCCCATGTGTTGTTGTGCATCAACAGTTAGTTTGTAAAACGTGTACCGATACCAAGCAACAGCCAAAGTGGAGGAAAACAAAGGTCCATCATAGCATTCTGCTTCCTCAACTTGATATTGATCCCTACAAAGATTAGATAACCAAGATAATAATTTCTCATTCCATATCCCTGATAAATGACAAATCATCATTCGTTCCAAATCTTGATTGGATTTACTGCTGTAAAATTGAGTAGTATATTCTACACGTCTTCTATCTCCTATCCCTGTAATATAGAGAAGAAGATTTCTCTCATAATTGTCTTTTTCATATAACAACGTAAAATCAAATATCTCGAACGAAAAAAGTTTCGAAAATTTGGAATGAAGCTTTCGGAAGTTATTACAAGTCACTAGTATTGGAAACTTGCATTTGGAGGAAAGGGTTGCAAAATTTGCGCTACAAAGAGGCTCCATATCCAATATAATATCAAGTTCCTCAAAGATAAATGCTACATGACTACAAAAATGGTTAAAAGGAATACAAAGAAACCGTAAATGATCGGAAATCACCTTGTGTCTCGCACCAAAGAATTGTTCTCTTCCGCATTTTTGACAGTTTGCAACACCCTCGAATTGTTCCTGGTAAATCTAGATAAACAAGAAATCGGAGCTTAAATGTAAACAATTACCAATCAGTGTGCGTGTTGAATTCTATCCAACTGTATTGACAAGACTTCAAAGCTGCTAGCAAAAGTGTAGTTTTGCCTGCTCCTGACGGACCCACGAGGACCTTTACACTTTGGAACAGAAACATCGGATTGAGATGGACAACTTACCGCAACCGAGCGTCTTGGATTCTTTTCTTCGGGCAACTCAAGAAGATTCGAAGCTATTCGCCTTTGTGCCAGTAACCAACCGCATACCCTCTCGTAAAGTTTTACAATTTGTTGATCGTGCCCAACCAAAAAATCAGGTAACTTTGAATACTCTAATAAGGAAGGCTTTCTCTTCTTTCCTTTACAATTTGCGTTCTTTCCACTCATCGCGTGGTGCCAAACATTAATCGAATATACAAATTTTGAAATTGTGAAAACACAATTACCAAACATAATTGAATTCTCATCAAGCTGTGGAATATAATATCGAGTTGAAAGTCGAATCAATTTTCATGTGCGTGTAAGGATAAATAACTGTGGGAAATGGTTTCCCGATTGACACACACACACACATATATATATATATGTAGAAAAAAATAACTATACAACTGAAACTATAATGCAAATGGGTAACTGAGGCTGAAAACATCGTGACAAATATTTCAGTATCTCTCCCAGTAATTACAGACCAAGACAAGGAGTTTTAGGTTTGCTTCTTCTAACTTACAGAAACAAAAATGATAAAATCATATAGCCAACTCTCTGAAAGTTTAAAACAGATTAAAGTTCACAACCAGAGATCCTCGGATACAGTTTCAGGTTGACAAGTATACGACAACTTGGAGCAACAATATCGACTTTTCCCAAGACATTATTCAAACATTTTAATAATACTTGTCGAGATGAAACAGTATATGAACGATAACTCCTGTTCTTGACGACGTTTTATCACTGCTGCTTTCCTAAACAACTAAAACATACAAACCAAACTAGCTTTTCGATGGAACCAACTAGTACCACCACACATTGAGAAGGAGAAGAAATTGCGAAACAGTCACCAAAAGTAGTTGTACAGTACGAGGATAACAGCGAAAAATATTTCCTTTTCAAAGGAAACGACTCTTCATTGATTACTCGTGGAATACCTGTATGACCAAAAGCCAAGCAGCGCCACTAGGTCGAACCAAAGACCAGTTTTGCAAGGAAACATGACAACAAGAGAAAGTCCAACTAAGGAGAGTGTGTGACTTTGTGACTATAAATGGGCCACAGTTGAGTTTGGAAAGAACAGAGTTTTTCGAAGATACTCTTGTAACAGTGTCGTCTTGTAAACACGTACAACTCCTTTGTTTGCATCGAAGGAGGAAATCAAGTTGCATCTAGAAAACTAACAACTCACTGTTCCTAAAAAATTTCAAGGACAAGTTATGTGAATACGAGCCATGAAACATGTTGGAAGAGTGTTTGCTGCAGAATCAGCTATATCATAAGAAATGGAAAGGATTTCATGTCAATCTGTTGCAAAGTAAATGTTATCATACTCAAAACTTAAATGAAAGCACTCCTTTTTGGTTATGGTTTCATTTTGAATATTCCTTTTCATTTTGTCTCTTTTATTTAGTTTAGACAAAGCATTCATTGTAGGCAACTCTAGACTTTCAAGTTTTGGCGTTCTTTTCTTTTACTACGGATAGCAAATAATTGATTCTACAATGCCTTCGAGGCCTACAATGACAGATAGTTATTTCATAAGAGCTTAAACAAAGGTTCACTCCTTCTCTCATTTGAATGGTTTCAATACATTTAGTTCAAACTGTATATTTTGAAATAAAAAATAGCAACCTTTGTCAAAAACTACTGAGTAATAAATGGGTGTCTAGAATAATCCGATATCGGTACTGCTTTACGAAAGTAACTTTGAGATGGTCTGAATTTCTCATTGGAGCTCTCCCTATTCGTATTTTGACCAACCAACCAATTATTTTCCATTTACTACAAGCTTATCCCAAGAGTTCAACTTGAAAAATTGAGAGCAATAAGTACAGGAACAAGTGAAAATCCAAATAAAAGTATAGCATACGAAATGTTGGTTGTTGGCAGAATTAGTATTGAGAAAGCATACTTACATAATCATTCTTCCATTGAGACAGTGTCGTTCAAAGAAAGAAAAAGTACGTTCTAATGACCTTGATACACATCAATCACAATTCCATATTGTCAACAATTTTTTTGCTGCAAATTCATAGCATCTTAGCGATCCTCAAGTCCAAATGACAAGACTGCTTTGTATAGCGGCATCAGCAACTATTTCGAAAAACCACAGGAAAGTGTTCATGTTTCCGAAAAAGAGTCAAGGAATACAGACTACATATGATGCGAGTCACGCCCAAATGACTGCCAACGTCAACCAAGGTTTTTAGAAAGGCAAAAGAAAGACGCATATCTTTATTTATTGGGGGAAATATTTGCTTCTTACCCACCGTGACACTTTTCCTTTTGTCGTTGAATTTCAACGGAGGTAAAGTCTATTTCTCAGAGAGTATAGATTGTATTCAGAGTCCATTTTGAAATTCCAGTTTGCACACTTCGCAGTTGAACTCTTACTCCGTTAAAACTGCTTGAATTGTGTTTCTAAAATCAACAATATTCACCCTTGTTTTTCTTAGAAGGTTTACTATCTCGGATCTCCTGCTCTTCTTATCAAAATCTTTAGGGAAACTAGATTGGTGTCGATTGTCTCTTTGGCAATTTTCTAGCCAAACGCAGAAATCATACAAGTTCCAACACTATCATTATTTTGTTTGTATTCGTATTGAGTGACCAAGAAAATGTATAGAAAGACCACGTATCGCAACAAATGTATTTATTGTAGAGCGCAATCACTGAATTGACAACAACTGAATCTTAGTGGGGTCACCGCAAAGTTCTTCAAAGATACAAATGTCATTACTATTGGAAACAAGTGCTATAGGAACAAAGTAATACTGCTGACTATAAAAGCTACTATGTTCCTCAACAATCGGAGATCGATGGAGGCTTGTATCCTTCTCTATATAATCTATGATCCAGTATCGACCCAAACAAAAGTTGTTCCAATACACAAGTCCTTTAGACATACATTTCATATCCAACAATAATCCATATTTCATCTATAAGAAAATTTTTGAGTTTCTGTAGCAATGTCAACACAAAATAATATTTACCTGTTGAAGTTCGTTTGCTTTGAGATGAACCTTCGCTTGCCAAAGTTGGGGTCCCACCCGTGGCTGACTTGTAATTGGAAATGAAATACTTGGACTATTCTCTTTGCTGATGTACAAAGGTATACTACTCCACTTGGAGTCGAATGCAGCATGAACAGTTTCGAGTTTGCCACTGGGACTTAACAACTGGAAACACATTATGGGATGAGAAAAAATTCCTTTTCTTTCCTGTTCCATTCTGCCATTTTCCCATAGCTGAAACTCTCCCTTAATAAGACCAAGAGAGCAAACCAAAATAGCAAGCTCGAATTTGTAAGTTCCATCCTTGTCCGCTGCAATTTGCATGGGGGCGAAATCTTCTAAATCGAAGGATTTGGAAAATCCAGACCTTCTTCCTGTAAATCTCTCATCATAGCATGGACTCCTACAAGATCCTACATATTTACGGTTTAAAAAGACGTGAACATAGTCAGCAGCTTCCAATTCCATATGGATTTTCAGACAATGGGGCGTATTTTCTCCTTTAAACGGGCAATAAATGGTACCAACGCCTGTATACCACATATAATCAGTTTCATCCTGAGTTATATGTAACATATCAGGAATATGCGGAAATGAAAATTCGAAGTGTTCTTTGTCTTTCTTTTCCTTGCTGGGAATTGGAATTTGCATAGTCTTCCATTCGTTGCATACATAGTCTAGTCGATGGTAACTTTTCTGAGAAACGTTGTAACTATTTTGAGAAGAATCAAATACTTCTTCATGATTAAGATAAATTTTCACCGATAACGGCTTGAGACAA